TTATCTCTAATTTTATCAATACAATGGTTACTTTTAAGATTCCAACCTTGATTTTAATCTGATCATTTAAAATTTAACATGAGAGAAAGGAAAAATTACCAATACTTTTTAATCTTCCATTTATATACTCATGAGTAATTCGAATAAAGCTACTTACAATATTGTCCTAAATCCTTAATATAATTTAATTATCATATCGAGTCATTTATAAGTATTTGAAAATTGCAGCCAAAGAATTTGTTTTTTGGTGATACTTTATTCATCATAAACCCCCTGTGATTTTCCATTTAACCTAAATGTATAATAATATTCATTTTTCTAATCATTTCTAGATCCTTAAAGATGTTGAAATACATCATTATAATATTAGTCCAATTGTTGGACAGCTTTTATTAATTATTTTATAAGATATTATGACTGATAAAATACCTCATCAATCATTTAAGGGTTTTATACTTAAAACTTTATTTAAAGTAGTCCAAATCAATATTCACTGAAAATGAGGAAGTAAAAATACTATTGTAATCATTAGGTGATAAAACTAAACAAAAATGAATTGTTTTTCTACATTCAATAATATTTTTATTTCAATTTATAAATATATCCTATTTAAACTAAACGAGTAAAATACTCTTATGTAATCCTGGGCCTTTTAAAAGAAAAAAATAATAAATTTTTTGTTAATTTATGTCAATATTGCTATTGAAAATAAAAGAGATTCATATTTTCATTTAAAAATACCAATGATAAAATCCAATATTTGGTGATGTAATAATTAAACTAATCATTCAATATTAAATGTTCGTTAAAGGCTCCTTTTGTTTTGCTTCTAAAAATAGTTTATAATTAATATATTTAATTTTGAGGTTCTTAATCACAAAATATTTTTGATTTATTAAATATTATTCTTAATCGAAAAGGAAAATGTTAATGAGATGTACTTAGGCTGATCATTAAAATTAACAAATAATTGGAGTTTGCATCGATAATAAATGTTAATAGTAAAGACCTTATTGTAATTTTTGTTTGGCTAGTCATGCTCAACACTTGAACAAGTTAATATCAGTTGAGCTTCTAGATGATTGGGTTTTTAAAAGAGTACTTATTATCAAGAATGTTGAAGAAAAAGCTTAGGAGTGTAAATTAGCCCTTGATAGTCTTTTAAATAAATTTATTAATTTATACAATATTAATTTGGTATAATTACCTAAATTAGAACTTTCATAGATCGATAACATTATTAAATGTTTAAGTTTAATTGAGTAATGGGAGAAAACTATATTTAACTAGTTCGAATAATCTATAGAATAAATTAAATAAATAGTAGAAGAAATTTTGGAAAACTAAAAAATATAAACAAGTTTTAGCTAAACAGATAATATATAAATTTTAAAGCCTTTAGAGATCAAATAATAGGTTTTTGAATAGCAAATAAATCTAAATTTCATAAAATCAAATCTAAAACCCTTCACTTTTGAACTGATTAATCAAAATTCTATTAAATAGTAAGAATAGTGTTATGCAATTGCAATTAATAAAGATAACTCTATTGTGATAGCAGGGTGTGATAAGTAAATTAAAGTATTTGATCTCAAATAAGGGATATTAAATCAATCATAACTCTTAAGTGATCATTAAGATTTTGTGTTAACATTAAACTTTATGAAGAAATCTAATCATTTTGTATCTGGAAGTAGAGATAAGTCAATTATAATATGGTAGATGAATCAGAATAATTAATGGACATGCTAACATAAATTGGATGGACATTCTGATGCTATTGATAGTTTATTATTGAATAATAATGAGAATCTTATTATTTCCGGCAGTTATGATTCATCTATTAAATTTTGGAATAAATAAAATGGATGGTTGTGTTAATAAACTATTAAAGATCATACAGAATATGTCTTTTAGTTAAGTTTAAATGAAAAGTAAGATAAATTGATATCTTGTTCAGCTGATAAATAAATTTTAGTGATTGAATATTCTTAGATGCATTAGATATGGAATGTGATTTAAAAGATATAATTAGAATAATTTGGATTTCGATTGAGTTTTCTAAATGATAATTAATTCACATTTTAACCTTAAGGTCAAGAATAAATGGATGTATATGAGATAAATAGTAATAATCAATAATTTGTTAAGATCAAGCAAATTACTGTTAAATCTGATTCAAATAGTTGTGGTAGTCTTTTTCCATAATAATACTTAAAATGTAAATGTCTTTTAGTGAATAAGAATGGTTACCATATCAACTTTATAAGGAAAAAAGAAAACGGAGATTTTGTAACTGAATAAACTATTCAATTTGATCATTATTATATTTTTGGTTAATTAAGTGATGATGGTGAATATCTAATCACTTGGGATTAAAAATCAAAGGAAATACAAACTAGAAAATGCAAAGAATTATGAATAATATATAATTTATAAGTTACAAAAATTCGATAAAATATTATAAAAATAATTCAGGGAGCTTCTTATCAAATTCAGCTTGATCAGATAAAGTTTTCTGTGAGAAGTTTACTAAAATAAATTTAAATGTAAATGGTAATCGTCTGCACTTGTAAAGAAATAAAAATTCAAAAAAATTTTAATTGAAATTAATTTCGAATAATTTTAATAATTATACAATGATAATTATTTAGATTAAAATAATTTGAAACTCGTTTATTTATACTTTATTCTAATTTGATTAAATTAGGAAGGTCTTTTAATTTTATAAATATTATCCATTAGGTAATATCGAATAAATCCAAGTTGATTTTTAGATTGAATAGCAAAATTTGTTCATCTCTATTGTCTAAAATCTAAAGTTCATAGATACTTAAGAAAAATAAGAATATTTACCTATTGTGTGCATTACTTATATAAGAAAGTATTTTCTGAATAATATTAAAATCAACTAATTTATTTCAGATTACTAGATCAAATAAGTTTTCAACCTGAATATTTGTTTCAGATTTTCATTTGTGAACATTTTCTAATCTAGTAACTCATGCGTTTTAATCAGCTAATTACTAATTTTCATCAGAGTTAATGAGAAAGTCAGTTAATTTAAAATTCTAATTATAATACATTAATATTGATATTAATCAACTAATAATGGAATTTAAATGGGAATTATAAAATTCTGGAAGAATGGACTAAGTTCATGAAACAGGAGTATTTTCAAACCAATATACTAGATTATTTGTTTCTACATCCTTCTCTGCATCGAAAAGAAGTATATCTGTTATGGAATGAATTAATAACTTGCTATTAGTAAGCCAACAGTAAAAGTTTATGGAGTAATTGAGTAAGTTAATTGAAGAATCCAAGTAACATAAGAATTAGGATAAGATTAGATACAACAACAATGATTCTAGTACTCTAGAAGATGACATAATTAGAGAATTAATAAATAACTTGATCCTTTAATTTAGTAAAGGAGGATGAATTTAAACAAAAGAGTTTGAATTTCAAGGAGAGTAAATTAAAAAACGACCTTTATATAATCAAATTATATTCTTTTTCTAATAATTATAAAGATAATTTAAATGCTCAAATCTCTATTAATGATAAAATTAAATTCTTAAATAAACATTACTCTTAATCATTTGATGGATTGGCTATCCGATCAAATCCTTAAAAATATTATTGGAAAAAGATAAGTTCATAATATAAGTCGAAAAAATTTGAATATAAGAGATGACATCAATTGTAAATTAATTAGATTTATAAGATTAGAATGAAACAAAATAAATGAAACTTAAGGAATTATTCAATCAGAATAACTTAATGTAAAAGGAGTTATAGAAATAAAAAAAATAAAATAAATTACTAAAAATTCATCTATGAAGTAAGAATAGACAGATAATATGGAGCTGAGTTTGTTGACGGATTTTTCTTAATTACAAGACAACTTATAAACTGGATAGGTAAGAATTCACCTCATCAAATGTAAGAACTGAGGATTCACATTTCCAATACTAAAGGAAATGCATTCTTTAAAACCTCCATTTTATAATATTTTGAAGTCGGTCAAAAGCTATTAAGAA